CGCTGCCCCGGGCCCCGTTGCGGCGGCCAAGTTGGGGCCGATGCTGCCTACATACGGCTCGTCCGTGTCGACCATTATTATGGTACTTTCCCTGCTAATTAAAACTATACAGCTTTTTTCTCCATGTGTAGATAGATGTGATGCTTCCACGGCCAGGGAGGGCCAGCATCCACTTGAGTCGATCTGACATGTTTTCCTTTCTCGGCGCTTAGGAATGGGGGTCCTCAGATCAACCAAGGGTGGCCTAATCGGACGGCTTCGGGATGGTAACATCAAAGCAAGTGCAGAAAGTGTTTTCACGCGTTCAGTGGTGTATTTCAGCACCATCAGCAGATTCAACACAGTTAAAAAAAGCAGATTCAACACGGATTTGAAGCTTTCTGGTGGCAACTCCACCGCGCATCACCAAACCTCCCGCAAAGGTCTTTATTGGACAATCTGAACACTTGGAAAAAACAACACTCGTCGAAATTGTACAGACCAATCCAAACATTTGAAATTCCGCAAGCCGGTACCAAACTAATGCCAGCTCCAATCCGGGATCACCAAATCTGTCCCAAATGTCCCGACCGAACTCTTCGGACACTTTTAGTCATCCAACGGCGGTCAGCTAATGTTCGTGAAGAACGAACAGTTGGCCATGCAATTTGGACGTCCAAATTTTCTCAAACCGGCACCAAACTGGGGTAAGGTTTTGGGGAATAAGGATGTTTGCCTTGCACGTCTCCACGGCAACGAGGGCAGCGCCTGACCATGATCTCGGAGTGACCGCTCGAGCAACAGCTCGAGCTATTGTGGGTGCTCCTCATCCGTCTGCGCGGCCTCGGTGAGGAGGGGCGGCTGCTCCTGCCGCTCGACGTCGTGGATCACCACCTCCTTGACCGTGGGCGCCGACGGAGCGGTGGATGGCGACGGGCCCAGAGACTGTGAGCGGCAACGCCACGATTCGGTTGACCCAGGGGATCCACTTGCCGGTACCGAGAACTAGCCGCTGCCATACTTGACCATGTCTGCAGTGTGCAGAGGAGGGGAGAGGAGGAGGTGTGCGGAGTGGAGATGTGGTTTGCCGGTGAGGTCATCCTACTTAAATAGTCTGACCATGCCAACCGATGCCGCTTCAATGCGGGCACAATGATCGGAGTAAGCTTCTCGGTCGCCTTGAAGCGCCGTGAATGCGTGGCAAGCCGTCTGGCCACGTTGGTCCGATCGGCATGAATGCAGGTAGCCCATCCGGTTGAGTCCACTTTGAGCGACAGTGAATGCGGCAAGGGTTTTTGATGGGACCGCCCAGTCATGCGTATACGTGACCAACGTTCACATGAGTAGACTTTCTACCAGTTTGCTTCCGGTATGTGGGATTTCAACCGGTCCACTTACGTTTGATGCATTGTATTTTGACTGTGTCATTCAAGTATTTAGGGGCGTTTTGATGCACGATATTGGAATATGCTCACAAAATAGACAACCGCATACACCTAATCCGGCCCCTCAAATGTCCGTAAACGTGCCTGGGCGCATCCGCGGACAGTGATCGGTCATCCCTCAAATTTACACTTTCAAAACTGGGTACCTCATAGCAAATCCCAAATCCATACAACCACATGCATCGCAAACTATCTTTGTGATCCAACACAAATCGTCCGCTCAGTCCGGCGTCTACGTGACTGACGTTCAGACGAGTAGACCTCCTACCTGTTTGCTTCCGATATGTGGGGTTTCAATCGGTCCACGGAAGTTTGATGGATGACGCTGGATGACAAAAAGTATTTCGACTATGTTGTTCAAGTATTTAGGGCGTTTTGATGCACAATGTTCGAATATGCTCACAAAATTTATAACCGCATACACCTAATCTGGCTCATCAAACGTCCGCAAACAATGACCGGTCATCCTCAATTTTTCGCTTCCACAATTGGTGTGCCGACGACCGACGTTGAGGGAAAAAAGAAGAGGAAGCGACTGGCCGGCCCGGTAGCGAGAAAGAGAAAAGATGCTGACGGCGTGAGGCCGCACGTCTCCAGTCTTTTTTTCTTTCTAGGTCACGTCTCCAGTCTTGTTGGGACTTGGAATGGGTCCCGACTCCTCAGTGAGACAGACCCATACCCGATCCATCGACCCGGTTGTGCCAGGCTGTAAAAGGTTCCCCGTCACTACCATCACACAGCAGCACCGATGTGTTTTCACCGGTCGCATGGCACCGGAACCCGCCTCAACCGAACGGACGCGACCGCCCGGTTTAATTCCACCACCGGCGCCTGCAGCGCAGAG